TTCTTAATTAATATAATATATTGTCACAAAAATATCAGAGCGCAAAACCGAATAAAAAAAGAAAGAAAACAAGGAAAACTTGATTTCTTTTTTTTTAATATAATATTTTATAATATATTATTTATATACATAATAATCTTTGATTATGCATATGTGTATAACAAAATCATTACAAATTGCGTTTCATTGGGCCTCGCTCCACTACTCGCGAAATGCACAAAAGACAAAAAATATGCCGGTGCATCTACGCATGTTCTAGCGGCAGGTTCATTCTCATTAGGCACATTCGGTGAGTAGTGGAGTGAGGCCCATTATGAAAAAACATCGCATACAAAACTCTGAACTTTAACAAAAAAAAAAAAAAAAAAAAAAAAACTATGAACTTTTTGCGATCAAAAACCCTACCGTCTTCAATCGAATGGAACGCCCCGTCGGTATGGCTGTATTTGGTGCAATGTTCCGTCTAGATACAGCGATAATAACCGCCAGAGCTCTATTCGAGTGAAGACGGCAGCCGCACTTAAACCCTCTCAAGGGCCTCGACCAGAAACTTACTGTATAAACAAGAGTAACCAAAACTATAAACCCAATCCCAAATGACCCTTCCATTAGGAGCGGAGAGACCCAAAAAGAAGGGGGGAGAGGAAAAAAGCCTCAGCATCTTCGGCGAAAACTAGGGTTGGCTTGGGGAAATCCACACAAAAGGGAGAACAAGAAATGAACAGGCCTCCTCCTCCTCCTCCTGCTCCTCCTCCTCCTCCTCCTCTTCCTCCTCCTTCCTTCTCCCTGCACTCCTCTTCTTCATCTCAGATTGTTTGGTAAGTTGGGTGGAGCCGCAAGGCGATCTTGGGAGTGTCGGGATCGCAACCTGAGGAGTGCCGGGAGCGCAACCAGGCCGAAACGCGTCGGGGACTTTGCGCGTTCCTACTGAGATCCCGACGCGGAGAAGATCTCAATTTCTATTGTTGCGTGTACAAGAAGCAGTCTATGGCCACTATTTTTTCACTATTTTTTTTTCCTCCTCCTCCTCCTCCTCCTCCTCCTGCTGCTGCTGCTGCTCCTCCCAGGTTGGGGTTGGGATGACAGTCGGCGGGCCGCAAGGAATGGTTGCGCGGAAAGCCCCCTAAAGATGATCGGAGCCCAGCGGATCCAAGCGCCCACCGGGGGCGAATGTGCGCGTAAGCTGAGACTCGTATGCGCGGCTGCGTACTCAAAAACTTACAAAGCGTGTCCGAAAGGCAGTTGGCCCCTGTTCTCACTATTTCACTATTCTTCGTCTTCTTCGTCTTCTTCTTCTCCTCCTCCTCCTCCTCCTCCTCGACCTCGGCCATCATCATCAACATACAGCTGATGATTATGATGCTGACCTTCCTTCCTGCACTCCTTTTCTTCTTCTTCTTTTTCTTCTTCTTCCTCCTCCTCCCCTTCGTCTTTCTTCTTCTTCTTCTTCCTCCTTCTTCTTCCTCCTCATCCTCCTTTTTCTTCTTCTTCTTCCTCCTTCTTCTTCTTCCTCCTCCTCATCCTCCTTTCTCTTCTTCTTCTTCCTCCTTCTTCTTCTTCTTCTTCTTATGCGCGGCTTTGTAATGAAGAACTTTTGATGCGTGTACGAAAGGCAGTTGGCCACTGTTTTCCACTATTCTTCTTCCTCCTCCTCCTCCTACTTTTTCTTCTTCTTCCTCCTTCTCCTTTCTCCTCCTCCTCCTCCTCCTCCTCCTCCTCCTCCTCCTCTTTCTTCCTCCTCCTCCTTCCTCCTCCTACTCCTACTACTCCTCCTTCTTCTTCTTCCTTCTCCTCCTCCTTCTTCTTCTTCTTCTTCTTCTTCGTCACCCGGTTGAAAAATGTAGAGGAACGCGTGCGTGATTGAGCAGTGTACACGCTGGTTTTGAATGGAGTTTCGTTCTATTGCGTGGGAAGAGCAATTTGGCCATTGCTTACACTCTTCTTCGTCGTCGTCGTCTTCTTCTTCTTCTTCTTCCTCCTCCTCCTCCTCCTCGGCGATCATCCTCAACACATGACTCCTGATGATTATGATGCTGCCCCTTCTTCTCCCTCATTCTCTTGCCCATTATTATCCTCCATGTTCTCCTTCTTCTTGGCCGTCTTCGTCGCCCTCTTCTCTTCTTCTTCTTCTTCTTCTTCTTCTTCTTCTTCTTCTTCTTCTTCTTCTTCTTCTTGTTGCTGCTGCCCATCATCATCTGGATATGATTCTGATTGTGATTTTCGCTCATTTACCCTCGTTCATCTTCCCGCCCTCTTTGTCATCAGCGTCTTCTTCTTCATACCCATCACCCTCCTCTTCCTCCTCCTTCATGTTGCCCATCATCCACCATCGACATCATCTTTGGTGAAACCTTCTTCAGATGACGACGATCCCGATCCCTGTTGCGTGACAACTGTAGCGTGACAAGAGTGACACCGAGGAACAGTGCGACGGCGGGACAACAGTGCCTCGTCGTTCGACAACCAGCCAATGTGCGACAAGACTGTAATGGCGGCATACAAACGACAGTGCGACAGAACCTGCCATTCTGCGACAGCAGTGCGACACAGATCCATTCCTCACATGCTTGCTAACAGCGCCAGACATTGGTGTGCTTCGCCTGACAACTGTGCGACGGAAATTCGAGCTCCTGTGCGACAAGGGTGCGACAGTTTCACTCACGGCACGACAACGAAGAAGACACACCTGAAGGTAACGGACATGCGCAGCAATAGAGATCACCTGTGCGACAAGGGTGCGACAGTTTCACGCCGGATCAAAACCGATAAGAAAGAGAGAGAGAGAAAGCACTTTCGGGCCAAAGGGGCGACACACACACACACACACACACACACACACACACACACACATACACACACACACGCGCACACACACACACACACACACACACACACACACACACACACACACACAAAGACAGAGACACACAAAGACAGAGACACACAGAAAGAAAGGCAAAAAGAGTGGTAACGTAAAAATCAGAGAGTAGAGAGGAGAGAGAGAGAGAGAGAGAGAGGTAAGATAAAAGAAGAGAGACAGAGAGAGGGACACAGAGAGAGAGAGAGAGGGAGAGAGAGGGAGGGAAGGAGAGGAGAGAACGGAAAGGACGAAGAGGAAATTAAGAAGAATGGGAGAGATGACGGGGGGGGGGGAAAGGGAAGAGGAGGGACGATCCACCTCTAGAGTCTGTCCATGGCGAGTTACTACCAACGTCTTCCGTTGTAATCCATCATCATCATTTTGATCTGCTTCTTGATTGGGCCGTTCGTCCATAGACATAGACACGACTGTGCTCTCTCTCTCCCCTTGCTGCTGCTCTTTCCGCTTCTCCTCCACGTGATCTGCCCGTCCTTCCACCACCGTATTCTCCCTCCCTTCTTCTCTCTTACCCACTACATCTTGTCCCCCCATTTGCCCCATTACTACATCATCTTTGTCTCTATTATTCCTTGAAGCTAAAGCAGCTATGGAGGTACTCTCGTTCACCTCCACCTCCGCCTCCGCTCGCTCAGCGTCGGCTCTGCTGGCATCGGCAACCTTCCCTTGGCGTTCCAAGACGAGGCTGCTGTTCTGCTCAATACCACGAGGAGCAGAAGCAGAAGCAATGCCAGCAGCACAGCTGCGTCTTCCTCCTACCTTTCCCTCCACTCCTCCTCCTCCTCCTCCTCCTCCCTCTCCTCCCTTTTTCTTCTTCTCCTCAGTGACTCCTGCCTTCGCGTCCTCGGCCTCTTTTGGTACTACCTGATCCGTCTCGCTCGCTCTTCTCTTCAACCCTCTCCCCGCTGACGATGGCAGGGTCGGGATACCAGATCCCATCGAGCCCTTTCTTTTTTCGCCCCCTAAATTGCTTATCATGAACATTCAAGCGAAGCCTATGTCAGAGGAGGCCGGGCCCTCACAACCATCCCGGGAAAGAATCCAGTAGTGGTAGCATTGCCCAGCTTAGCTTACGGGGGGCAACCCCCCCTGACTGACGACAGCTGGAAGACGGCTCAACCGTGTGCCATGATATGCTAATAGCACTCACCATCCGCGTCGCACCAACCAGAAAGACATTCCCTAAGACATTCCCTGACATCCCTTTAGCGGGCCTTTACGACCTACTTGTAAGGTGAAACCGTCCTCCGGCCTATGACGGCCATACACCATTCGATCGAAGTGATCTTACCAGACTGAAATCAGTGGGTAATCCTGTAATTACCTTTCAGGCTGGGAGGGTACTCGGCAATTTCAGGGTCGGGTCAGGCCGGGCCGGGCCGCGGTTGATAATTTTTATTTTTATTTTTATTTTTATTATTTTTTATTATTATTTTTTTTCTTAGCGGTTGATAAATATCATCGGTTAGACTAGGTCCCTTTTCATTGATCAGGCCCTCAAATCCCTTATGATGATGTGGTGGAGGTCCTCGCCCAGGTGGGAGGCCGGTTGCTTAGGGCTTGGTGGGTTGATTGGGGTTGATTGGGATTGTTTGGGGTTGTTTTCTGGGGTGCTCGATGGAAATGCTTTTGGTTAGGTGTTCGGCTACGTGGGCAGGAGGTCCATCCGTCCCTCTTTTGGGGAAGCAATCAATGCCTCACTGCTCCATATGGGGGAACATGGTAGACGTGGTGGAAAGGGGCTGGTCAATCTGTCGTTCGTTTTGGGAAGTAATCAATGCCTCCTGCTCCGTAGGGGGACATAGTAGACGTGGTGGAAAATGGGCTGAAGCTCCCCGTGGAAAGCTTCGTATGGCATATACAGATATTCAGATTTTACAATCACACTCGCACAGTATTCGATACACAGTAGCACATCCTTACCCATTGTTGTACAGGGACGGTGGACCCTATTTCCAGCAGGCAGAGCCCCACACCTATAGATGGAGCCTTCAACACTGGGACCCACTTGAAAAACAAATACCTGGAGGTTCACACAGGGGGGCGGTGTTGGCGCGAATACCCTTACAAGGGTATCCGCCCTGGTTCTTGCAAGTGACAGAAAATAGGTTTGGTTTGTAATTTGAGTACACTGCACGAGTCGCCGTTGTGTTTATTTCACGCTGACTGAATGGTTGACTGGAAGTAGAGAGTATGTGAGCGCGCAGTTTTGAGGGGCGCGTGATGATTTTTATTTTGATACTATAGAGTCGGCGTTTCCGCCGGCAAAATGTTTATCTCTTTTTTTGGGTTAAAACGAGGAGAGGACTGTGAGGGAACTACAATAGCACGCGCAGTACGCATTCGCATCCGAGGCCAGGCACTGATGATCTAAGCTTAAGTTTTTAGTTATCAGTTTCGATTGACTTACTTGCTACTACACTAGGACCGGTAAGGTGTAAAGTGTTGGGCTTACCAACCATGATATCGGTCGGCGGTGGAAGCCGTGGGCGACATTTTAGAAATCGGGGTTTCACCGACGCCAGGTGCTAGAAGGGCGATCCCTCGGAGGCGTAGCCTAGTAAGAAGGCTGGAGTTTTGAGTAACGGCGCGGTTGTGTTACAGGCGCGGCAGCGGCAAGAATTAAGCCCCTCATGCAGCAGGGGTCGGCGCATAGGAGCGTTAGTACGGGGCAGCGTGTCAAAGTGCAGCCTGCAGCGCAGTCGGACAGACATAACCCGAAACCGGACATCTTTATAAGTAAGTCCGGGACAATCTTCTCTAGGCTTGGACTTAGCCCTATAGGTTATGACGTTGGATAGACATTACGGGGATCTTGGGATCAAGACCAACAGCCAACAGTGGAGGAGTGGAGCATACTTTGGCAAAAACCCAAGGGGTCGTGTGGGACTATCCCTCTAGGTTTTGCTAGGGAGTCCGATTGCGGACCCAATAGGTGGAACCGAGGCTGGGTTCCGACGGTTCCCCTCCCCTATCCGTTTTTCTAGTTTTTACCTAAGTTTTTTTTTTTTTTTTTTTTTTTTTTTTTTTTTTTTTTTTGTCCCGTTTTTTACGAGGCCAGGCTCAGTGGGCCAATGGCACTGCGAGAGACTCACAGCAGCGCTGCCGTGCAAATCGTTCGTCGGACTTAGGTATAAGGACGGATCGAACTGTTCTCCGAGCTTCGTTCGAGACATTCGAGCTGCTTGAGCGCTGCCCGACCCCTGTGGGATCGGTCGCTGCCGAGGGGTTGCGCTAGCAGCAGGCAGAGAGCCAGCGGGGCGGAACGGGCAGCGTTGTACAGAGCGAGTCAGACGAGTGGCATATTGTGCTGGGCTGCGTGAGCAACAATGGACGGGCAGCAAAGGGAGACTTGAGAAGAAGGTTAAATCGGGCAGCGCCAAGCAGCAGCGGGCAGATAGCGCAGCGGGCGGTGTGCGCTAATGAGAAGCGACGGGCAGCAAAGGGAGAGTTGAGAAGAAGAGTGAATCTGGACAGATTTTCGCGTTGGGTGCATGCGCAGAAGGAGGGGGGGGGGCACGGAGGCAACAGGAAGATGGGTTGAATCCGGACGTTTGACCATGCTGGGTGCAGTCGGAAGGTGAGCGTAGAGGGGTATGAACCTGGGCGAGGGGAAGGGCCGGATGCATACGGTGGAAATGGGGATGGCGCAGGCGGAGGGAAGGAAAGAAGTAGCAAGGGGAAAAAATGGATAGCTTGCCTAATCCTCAACTAAAACAGGCAGAGAAAAGTGGAGAATCAAGGTTTTTTGGGGGAGCGAACTCAAATATGTCCTCAGTTTTAGTATAGAGTTAGTAAAGAAGGGGGTTAGTAAAAAAAGTCTTGTGCGGGAGATGGCGGAAAGAAAGAAGAAGGGAAATGACAAATGCATATCCCGCTCATTTTCGGACGAAATCGGACGAGGGGGGGTGCTAAATGGGGGTTTTGGGCCATTCCGAGTTGAATGGCCATGTTAGATTTTTTATTCGGGCGATGATTTGGACGGCATGAGTAACTAAAGCGGCGTCCTGGAAAAACTAAGTGAAAAGGTGATGTATCAGCCCACTTTCAGCGGCAGGGTCCTTCCTATTTCTATGCATGAGGTAAGTGGTTGAGGCCCGTGCTTGAGATCTTTCTCGTATCTACTGGCCATATCCATCATCGAGTTGCTGCTTTTGTACGATCATGACTGTCTTCAGAGGGCATCTTGACCATGGTGGCCACTGAGTCCTATGAACCTGGCCGGAATCTGAGGAAGGTGTATTTAGATGGAGAAATAACAGAAAAAATCAAGGTCTACAAGGGTGAGAAGAAACGAGGGATGGTAAGAGAGAGAGGGAGGGAGAAGAGATAGCACTTGCCGCTGAAGACCGGTGGTGCAACAAAAAAATCGAGAGTCAAAGTTACTATGCCAAACTGTGCACAACAGGTGACGACTCATCTATCCGCACTCCAGTAGAAGATTCATTCTGAGTCTTCTCACCTGTCGACTGAAGCGGTGGGGAACAACCATGAAGTAGGAGACTTACCTGTTGGCCGCTGTGTTGCTTACTCTATCGAAGGAAGCAGCCTCCCTCTACCTCACTGTGAGAGAGACAGGAAAGCGGGGTAGGTTCCTATGTCTTGCTGCAGGTTCCTTCTCATCTTGCACGTCGGCAGGCTACTCAGTGGGCTGGACATTCGAATTGCTAGTTTCTGGCCCGGAGCATTCGGTGCTAATATGCTATGAGGGGAAAGGACCAGCACACAGAGAAAGGGACTGAAAGGAGGAGAGAGGGTGATGACATCGTGACGTAGTAGGTGGAATGGGTAGAAATAGCAGACCAATAGAAGGGAGTTGCACCTGAGAGGAGGATCGTTTTAGAGTGGCACGAATCTTGTTTCAGGGAAGATTCATTCTCTTTTTGTGAAGAAACGAGGTTGATAGCAAGCTCGATCTTAGCATGGAGAAGCACGGCGCCAGCGCCATGCGAGCTGCGGGTTGCGCTGGCTGGAGAGGTTTGAAGGGGGAACGTATTTAGCCACTTTAGTGGAAGAATCATCTTGTTTTTGTTCATCTTATCGATGAGCAAAAGCTTGGAGACTTACCTGGAGCTCGGTATGATGTCTGTCGGTCAATAGGAGGAGTGAGGAGCGGGCTGCAGTGGTCAGAGGCTTACCCGCAGGTTGATACGCCGCTTATTTCAGCAGGGGGAGGAGGAAGTAACTTACCTGCTGATTGCGGTCATGATGGTGCTCACTGCTCACCCCCGTGGTTATCACAGATGTGGAGGCTTTCCTCTCCACAGCGTTCAGCCCTCCTCGGTAGAACTGAACAGTATGCTCACGTTGTCGGGATTTCGGCCAGATTCGCTGAAGACTGGCTATGTGCGGAGCGGACGTGATAAAAGGAAAATTTCACTCGCTTTTTACTGCTTTTTATTTTTTTCATTTTTTTTTTTACTTTTATTACTTACCTGGTAGGTCCTGCCAATAGTCATATATCTGTCTCAAAAGACTGAGCTATGCACGACTAAGTGTGAGCACTACACTGTCACTTAACCAGTTACCAGTTTATTTTGGTGGCCGCCCCCCTCGTTTTGGCATCTGGTACCTGCCTGCAGCCACTGTGGAATTGGGGAAGTGGGTTGCCTGTTTAAATCCGTTTAAGTACGGGACCTCAACCTGCTTATGGCTATGCAGGGATCCTTCCTCATAGCCAGCTTCTTGGAGGGACCGTTAGACAACTAACCAAGGGAAGAGACGTAGCAGGAAATGACAGATTGAGAGCTCTTCTTTGGTTTTGTAAGTGGCAACTTATCCCTTTACCTCACAACGTAGCATCTGTGTCTCAGTATACCTTTGAACAAATACGGATCTGTGGACTGCTGTGCATTTTTTCTACTGTGGATGACTTACTGGGATTGCTGTGGCTGCTGCCACACCGCTGCTGTAGTTTTGTTTTTTTTATTTTTCTTTTGCAGTGCCTTGCTACTATTTTTTGGAGTCTGGCTGTTTTTCCCCTTTACACCACCACTACTCTTGAGGCTTCTATGTATGTGGTTGCTGTGTTTTGACTGACATTTCTGCTGAGTTCTCATCCCATCGCCAGACTGTTGCACCTTGTTGTTGAGGCTGCAGTGCGTTTGGCCTCTACTAAAATTGTCAGGTCGTCCGCTATTGGGGGCACTGTAGTTCTCCGCAACAGACTCAGTTGTTAACTCGAATTACTGGTTCTCATAGCAGGGTGCAGCAACAAGACACCGCTGCTTGCTATGACAAGTTGTTGTCAG